TCGAAATTGCAATAATCATATAGAAATTTTCTAATTAGTCTTTAATGGTTTTCTCTGGAGCTATTTATTTATATAACCTACAGCTTACGCTTGGCAATGTTGTTTTATTTACAGCTTTCATATACTACATTTTCATAAGAAACAATTACATAAAAATGAAATAACCACATCAGTAAAATCACAACAACACTATTATAAGAAACAGTTCATTTTATTTTAATATACAAATAGAATTTTACAAAATCATGTACAAAAAAATGTTGTCAAAACCTACTAAAACTAATGTTCTTTTTTCTGTTTCGCCTTTTGTGAACTTTGTGAATCAATACGCCTTTTATTATTGGTAATAGGTGATGATGTAGCTGTTAAATTTATACCTGTATGTTGTCGATTTTGCATCTGTTCTTGTGCCTTTTTCTTCAATGCATTCATGTGTGAACATCTGGTATCCTTCAAATGTTTATAATAATTTGATAACTGAAATTTTTCAGCATTTTTTCCTAAATTTATTTTTGAACCACATTTGCATTGAATGCTGATTTCCAAAAAATTATTTATATTCGAAAAAATAAAAGTAAAGTCAACATCTTCTTTCAATTCAAATTCATTAAATCGAAGGTTGGCTTTATTATCAATGCACCATTGTCGAATACAATTTAATAAATATTGGTGATGTTCGTCTATGGTTAATGGCGAACAAGAACTTGTGAATAATGATGGTGATGAAGTTGACATTGACGAGGAAAGTGAAAATGATTGTGTAGAATTAGTATTAGCAACTGTTATAACTTGTTGCTTAATGTTTCGTTTTGTTGTCTTCATATGTTCTTCAATTTTTTTTTTCAATAATTCTTTTAAACATTTAAAACTGTTTTCGACACCAGGTTTCACTATCAATTGATTGTTTTTCAATTTAATACATGTTTCTTGGCTCAATTGTTCCAAAACTTCATCATCAATATCAAGTGTTAAAATGGCACATGGATTTTCAGTTAAAAGAAAACATGGTACACTACTAATGTGCAAGTATGAAAGCAAACGGGCATGTAATTTTCCGAGGAACATTTCAACAAAATTATAAAAATCTTGATCCGTGTATGATAAAACATCATTTGGTAATTGACTAGTATTAAGATAATAATGTGCGACAGACATAAGGACAAAAATTTTATTTATTAATGGTAATGTTGATAAAACGATTTAATAGAAACAAAAAAATTTGAAGTGCGCCAAAACGTCTTTAATGTGAAAAGAAAAAGGATTTGCTCAACAGATTAGCCAATACGGGAAAAATTGTCAGTTTCTATTTCCTGGAAAAGTGCGACATCTAAATGATGAACATCCATACTATAAAAATGCATATTTGGGAGGAACAACCTACATATCACATATTCGTTCAGAACAATTAATTGGTTATTGTTTAAATTCTCAAATAGAGTAAAGGACACACTTTATATTCACATTTACCATTTCTTGTGAACGAGGTGTTATAGGTTCAAACGCAAGCTCAAAATGGATATTCATTGATAGTGCCACGTAGAAAGAGCATTTCTAATCTCCCTCGGACAAAAAAAAGTTCCTTTTTCCGATTCATTATTTCATTATCTAATACGCTGTATTAAAAAAACAAAATACATGACGAGATGCAGCATGAAAAGCTCTACAATCTACAAAGAACAGCTTATTTTATAATTGCACTTTTTGATTTCAAAATGAACAAAATTCTGAGCCACTAGTTTTTGACACTTCGAAAAAAATAGTCTCTCACGAACAAAGAAGAAGTACCTTTTTTCCAATTCATTATTTTAACATCTAATACGCTGTATTAAAAAAACAAAATACGCCACAAGATGCAGCATGAAAAGCTCTACAATCTGCAAAGGATAGCTTATTTTATAATTGCACTTTTTGTTTTTAAAATGAACAAAACTCTGAGCCACTAATTTTTGACAGTTCGAAAAAAATAATTGTTTGGTACCCGTCGAATTCAGTTTTTTTCATATTTCATCTTTTTATCACTTGATATGCTTTACTAAAAAGAAAACAAAATATACCACAATATGCAGCATGAAAAGTTCTACAATTTACATAGAACAGATTATTCCATAGTTGTACTTTTTTCTCAAAATACACAAAACTCTGTGCGACTAATTTTTGACGCTGTGAACAAGATCCTTTTTTGGTACTCAATCAATTTCTTTTCTTATTATTTTGGTTAGAGATTTGTATCGAAAGTCATAATCGATGGTTGAACAAAGGGATAAAGTTAAAAACAATGATTCATTAATTAATGACATAAGAAAAGAAATTTATCGTGTACCAAAAAACAATTTTTTTCGAAGTGCCAAAAACTAGCGGCTCAGAATTTTGTTCATTTTGAAAACAAAAAGTGCAATTATAAAATAAGCTGTTCTTTGTGGATTTTAGAGCTTTTCACGCTGAATCTTGTGATGTATTTTGTTTTTTTAATACAGCGTATTAGGTGATGAAAAAATGAATTGAAAAAAGGAACTTTTTTTGTCCGAAGGAGAATATATTTCAATCAGAATCTAATAAAAATAGAAACATACAAACAAAATGAAAGATGGCAGCATGCCATTCATTACACTCTTCTTGTGTGAGAATCCATCGGAGTTTTGAGCGTTTCTCAAGAAATCAGTTCCGGTTCTGTTATTTATAGAGAAACTATCAGCAAAAGAACATGAAAAGAAACACAGAAAATATTTGAAAAGGTTCCCGAAGTGTTGTGCAAGATGTATTATTCCGAGAAACAAAGTCAGTGAGATATCTGTTGCAAATCATTTAGAAAAAAAATTACTACTCATTCAAAACTTTCACTTCTTCTGTTTATTTCGTATCATTATATACAACATTTTTGCATGAAACTGGAATCAAAACTCAGTTTTATACAGCTTTAGAAATGATGATTCATCTTATACTTTACTTGAAAATAAAGCATATGTTCACGAAAAATAGTACCGAAGATTGACTTTTCTTTATCAAGTTTCCAGTAGAAATAGCCGTCCATATTTGATTATAATCTAATTAGAGGTATCTGAGACCAGATAAGTTCTGTTTTTGCAAACTCAAACTAGAGTAAGGTCAAACGATATAGGTTTTGTATGGTCGGAACTAAGAAATATATCTCGATATTTCATTGTTTTTGAACGACTTTTTTCTCATATATCATGTAGATCAAATAAAAAAATCAAGTGAGAAGACAAAAAGGGCCATTTATTGGTTGAAATAGTACATACAACGAAAATTTAAGAAGTTTTTTCATCTCATACAAAGATACTGTGAAGCAATTTTTTCACGGCTAACACTGAAACTATTTATAGAGTTTTCGACGACCTGGATGTAAAAAGCTTGATTCAAGAATTTCTATCTCTGTTTGAATGGAAACTGAATACAGAACCGCTGCTAATCAATTGATTCTTATTTAATACCCTTAGAAGTTTTGGGTCTGTTTTATTTTCTTTTCCTTGGCCAAGAGGTGGCTTTGAAAGTCTAACTTGAAATTTTTACTGCATGAACGTTATATAAGATGTGCTTATTGTATAGGATATAAACGAAAAAATTCGTGTAAAAGTTCTTGAGTTATATAAACGATATTTAATAATTACTTTGGGACTTGATCAACTATTTATAGAGTTTGTATTATTAGCATATTTTATTTTAGATATCTTGAAAATGAATAAAAAAGATGTTTATGATGTATCTGTTCTACCTGACAATATATTTACATTGAAAGGTGAAGAATTTTTTCATGCTATTCGATCATTAGTTGGTGAAGTTATTTGCAATATTCTTCAAATTCAAATGATTGATTCTGCACAGAACTTTTTGAATACAGTTGATGTTTTTGAAATATTCAAGTATGATTCTGAAGAAATTGATAACATAAAAACCAAGTCATGCTTTAAAATGAGAAATGGAGAATATATAATTCGTACAGGAGTATTAAATAATATGACATATTTGAAAACAATATTAAAAAAAAAAATTGAAGAACAGCATAGTTTTACAAATGATTTACAAAAAGAAAGATACTATGAGCTGATTGATCAGAATTCAATGTTACAATCACTGATAGATTGGTATTCACAGAATCAATTCACAAATAATTATAGTAATAAAAAGCATTTGTTTGTATCGTCTTTCATCGATACAATAACAAAAAATATAGTTAAATCAAAACAAGGTTATCGATATGATGATTCTGTGAAAGATTTTGCTTTAGTACTGTATATATTAGGTGGTAAACAATGTTATGATTTCATTCGAATCAATATTATTGGTGCATTACCTAATTTAACAACAATAAATAAATTAATATCGAATGCTGATTCTATTTTAACAGAAGGTCAATTTCGTTTTGCTGCCTTGAAAGAATATCTTGATACAGTAAATGTAAGATTTGGTTTTTGTGCAGAGGATTGCACTGGTGTAATTAAAAAAGTTAAGTACGATGTTACCACAAATTCATTTATTGGTTTCGTTACGAAATTATCTAATGGAGTACCAATTCGTGATTGTTATCAGACTGATTCATTTGAACAACTAACATTCTGGTTTGATAACATAGAAAAAGCTTCATTACTAAATATTCATATGTTTCAGCCTATACCACAGTCAAATCAAGCAAATGCACCTGCATCATTTCTTATAAGTGCTTATGGTGTTGATAGTACATCAACTGCCATCGACATAATAAATCGATGGATTTATCTTTTTAATAATTGTATCCAAAATCAAATAAGAATTATTGGTTTTTCTACGGGTAAAATCTTTGCATCGAAGTTTTCTTCTTAAAGGAATAAAAAACGCTTATATCTCTACGAGATGAGAGTTTGAATCAAATTGTTGATTAGGGATGTGATAGATTACAATTCAGCAATTTTGAAGAAGCGAATCGAAATGCTGACGCCAGACCATTTCATTTGAGATGAATTTACTCACGTGCTCATTATACCTGGATTAGCTGAAATAAAACATTTAATGATACCAGCTCAAATTAAAAGAAATGGTCACCAACTTCAGCTCACTTGAAAAATACGAATCGTACATGTCAGATCGTATTGCAAGAGCCGACGGGCAGCAGTAATGTAAATTAGCGAGATTATTTTAATCGAGAGCAACTCAATTGCTTAGTGTGAACCATTCACATACCTAATTTTGAGAATAGTTGACCCAAAAATAAAAAAATCATTATTTTTCGGAATAAACTGTACAGCATAATAATTCTGTTTGGAAGATAATTGTTCCAGTAGAAAAACAAACAAAGAATACTATGACTTATATTTATAGGGATTCATGAAATATAAACAGAGCTTAAACTATATATCAAACTAAGTTGAAAAATCTTAAAATACCATTCGGTAGAAAAATCATTGGTTTAGTTGATATAAGAAACTTTAGGGATTCTCATACTAGGCTCGGCTCATTAGAAAAATTAATTATGATAACAGATCGGTCTCGATTGACCAAAGAATTACAAATAAAGTACAATTGAGACAGAGCTTGAATAAATTTGTTAAATATGGTATTTATATTGGATTTTTTAGATAACATTTTTTTACTGAGAGGCACTAACAGAATAAGTCCATAATAGCTGCAACAAATCTGATTTGATTAAAGTCATTAAAACATGAGCTGAGTAAAATCGAAAACTACCAATACAAATTTATTTGGTTAGAAAGACGGGATTAATTTCAAGTTTTAGATGTTATTTCAGAACACGTGATGCCTTGACTGATCACGCTTTGTCTCGAAGACACTTTTATACTGATTGTTGGTGTGGGCAAAAAAATCCAAAAGACTTAATTTTCCAGTTTACAGTAATCTGAGGAAATGAGTATTGTTTTTCAATTGTCAATTAAAATTAATTGTTGGTAGATGATTTTAAAATTTTCGGATTGATAATATCTCTACCAATAAATTCAGTATTATCTTGATTTTGTAAATTTGTATTAGGATGTCAGCTAAATATTCGTACTGCACTAAATATATAATCACAGCAATAATGTCGTGTTAGGGTCCTAATAAAAAAAACTATCACCATTTATATTGATTAATATGATGCTTTAGTGAATTCAATAACTTTGGCTAATTTCAATAGGTTCCCACTGCATTTGTCATGCATAAGCATTGTAGTTAGTTTTGATTTGATACATTACTAATTCTAAGGCGATATTCCTTGTGTTGCATAGATTCATCTTCTAAATAAGTAATTTCTTTTATATTCTTTTCGATAACTGTGTAAATAGGAAAACCGTTTCAGAAACTTTTATCGATACAAGATCTTCAAAGATCTCATCGTTTGATTTATCTGCTTTTCATTTATATTAATTAGACGGTGATCCAAAATATGTACGGGCCATGAGGCTAATGTGCGGCTTCTTTGCATCTTTGTCAAACTTTCAATCTTACAATCATTTCGATACATTTAAGATCAAGATAGAAGAACGGTGGTCATGGTTTTTTCTTCGAAGACAACAGCTATTTCTATTTTTACAAGATCCAACACATTTAGTGACAAAATGGAGAAATCGGCTGTTGTCTAAAGTAGCTGAAATGCGGATAGGAAATCAAACAATTAGTATCAAGGATTTACAAAACATAATTGAAAATGATCAATATACGAAGTTAGACCATGGTTTGACAATATCGGATTTAAATCCAAAGGATAGACAAAACTATCGATCTTGTGTTAAACTTGTTTCAGAAGATTTGTTAAATATTCTCAGTAAAAATAATAATGTGCAAAGTACCCACGTGTACCTTCAATTATTGAAAATGATCATAACAGCGTATATTGATAAATCAACGAAAATAGCTAAACGTGAGTGCATATTTTTTTGAAACTTTGTACAAGACTAAGGAGAAATATTTTGTTTAATCTGCGTTAGGAAAGCAGATGCGGAATCAACCAAAATATTTTCGAGTAGAACAAGAGTTTTGATAACGAGAAGGAACCTGTTCTATGTATTTCAGTGAAAAATACAGGTTGTTTCGATACTTTCAATGTATTTTGAAACTTATGTGCACATGATCCCGAGTTTTTTTTATCGAGTTTTACTTTTTTGCTGGCGAACAATAAATGAAAAGGTCTTACTAAGTTCAAAGTGTTTTAAGAAATGAAAATTTGATGTAAAGGTCTTTCAGCCACCAAAAGAATTCTTTTTGGAAAAACGGTTGTTACTATATGAAAGAGGAAAACTCGTTGGAAAACGTCAGATTACAAAAGGAATTCAACCTGACGTTTTTGTTCAAATATTTTTCGGATAAAATAGTAAAAGTAAAATACTTTTGTTAGTAAAATATTTTATTCGTTGCTTGAAAAGCTTCCGTATGAATCCTTGATTTCCAACAAGATTTTGGTCTCAATATAAAATTTTTTCTATATAGTTTAAATCAATCCGACCCTGAAAGCTCGATTAGAGAGTATAATAGAAATTATAATCACGTGACTGTTTTGTAATCTCTTACGTTTCACTATTATTCGCATGTATAATTACCTGTTTTAATATAGGATTGGAGTTAGCGTGGTGTGTAGTCTTCTTTTGTCGTCTTTGGTGGGCCTGGTTGCAACACACAAATTTTGTAAATGTATCTAAAACAACAACAACAAAAAAAAAAGAAACTAAATATAAACATTTTATTACTAGAACAGCTTACCTGTCAGTAGAAATTAATGCACATATGTTGCTCTATTTAATATTACTCGTAAAAGATAACCAATTGCCAAAAGAAGCATTATATATTTACTTGTTTAATTCGCAATCATGCGAATCAATGTTTCGTAACACCAGATCTTTAAGTGGAACATTTTCAACAATTGTTAACTTTACAGTGAGTGATTTTCTTCATCGCTCCCAAAAATTATCAATTTTGAATAAAATCAAACATCAGCAAGAAAATAATCAAAATGAAAATAATTTAATTTTTCCTGTACATCATAAATACAGAAATAACAATAATTTGACGTTGCAAGAAAGATTAGAAGATATTTATGATTTAGATATAGATAAAATTGTTTTCAATTCATATAAAATGGCAGTTGATCTTATTAAACCATTAAATGTAATACCAATACTGAAAGAATATCATATTCTTGAGTTAGATTCCTTAAGTAAATACACTTTTAGTCAACTCAATGCAAAATCAAAAATGATAGATTCTTCAATTATATCAATAACATATAGTAAAAGTAGCTTACACTCAGAATTGGATACAGATGATGAAGAGTACGATGAAGATGATTATTTAAATAATAACGATGAATTTATTAGCAACATTTATGAGGACAGTCAAAGTCTGAACGATTCATTTGATGATGATGATGAAGAAGAAGAAAATATGAATTCGATAAAAACTGATTTTGATGGTATAAAGATTTTAGATCATATAAAAATGGAGCAAAAAGATCGCTATTTTAAAATTAAAATTAATGATAAGGTGAAGTACATGCATAAGCAAACAGCATGTTGGATATTACCGAATGACAATGAAAAACTTTCATCAGATCGTTTATCTCGTGTAATACAAACAAACAAAAAGTAAAAACTAACATACAGTGCACGACAAAAGTTTAAGTGAAACTGTATTTTTGTTTTTTTCAATAATGTTAAGCACTTAGCTTTAATTCAAATGGTGGTTTTAATAGCCAATGGAGCTTGCTATATAA